GTTCTCATTTTTCACACATTAAGGAGCTCTGTTCTCATTTTTCACACATTAAGGAGCCCTTTTCTCATTGTTCACACATTCAGTAGTTATGTTTTCATTGTGCACACATTCAGTAGTTATGTTCTCATTGTTCACACATTCAGTAGTTATGTTTTCATTGTGCACACATTAAGTAGTTATGTTCTCATTGTTCACACATTCAGTAGTTATGCTCTCATTGTGCACACATTCAGTAGTTATGTTCTCATTGTTCACACATTCAGTAGTTATGTTTTCATTGTGCACACATTAAGTAGTTATGTTCTCATTGTTCACACATTCAGTAGTTATGTTTTCATTGTGCACACATTCAGTAGTTATGTTCTCATTGTTCACACATTCAGTAGTTATGTTTTCATTGTGCACACATTAAGTAGTTATGTTCTCATTGTTCACACATTCAGTAGTTATGTTCTCATTGTTCACACATTCAGTAGTTATGTTCTTATTGTTCACACATTCAGTAGTTATGTTTTCATTGTGCACACATTAAGTAGTTATGTTCTCATTGTTCACACATTAAGTAGTTATGTTCTCATTGTTCACACATTAAGTAGTTATGTTCTCATTGTTCACACATTAAGTAGTTATGTTCTCATTGTTCACACATTCAGTATATGGTGCATGGTCCTTTATTGTATAACTTAATCGGCACTTGGGGAGTTGAGGGCGGTGATGTAGTAGGCATCATGTAGACCGCCTTTACTTCCAATGACAAGTTCTGGTACCTCTTGTAAACAGAGGTTCTTACGCAAACCACTGGGGGTGTCTGGAAGTGGGTTGGGGGGGGGGGGGTGGGGGAGGCTGTGGTGAGCTCATAAAAACCTAAGCCAAAAGTTTAAGTGGGAAATAATAATAATGTACTGTATTGCAAAATGCATATATATAGTATCTTTCAAAATTATTAGAACCCTACACAGTGCAGATCAGACGTTTCATCATTTTCAAGGAAGATTACGTTCAAGAAGCAAGGTTAACTGTAATATAACATTTATTAACCCCAGTTGCAATTAGATTTATAAAAAGTAGCAAATATAACTGTATTACCACTATTTACGTATCACCAATATAATGATATTTACTAAGTATTTTTGTATTACATTATTATCTTATTTAATTTCTCGCAAATTCAGTTGTGTTCACGAAATTTACACAATTAAACATTTCGTTTATTTATCATGATGCAATGAAGTTGACGGATTAAACCTTACTGTTAAATTTAATAAACAAAGTTCTAATTAGGTTTACTAATTATATTTTAACATGTCATTTATTTAACATTATGAGGTTTACTAACTACATCAAAGCATACCTTAAAATGCAATTTATTGACAACAGCTGTAATTAAGTTCACTAACTATAAATTAATTTGTCATTTATATTTCACGACTGCGAATAAGGTTCACTGAATATAGCTCAATATGCCATTTATTGATCATGATTGCAATGAGATTAATTAATTATACCTTGGTATGCCATGCTAAAACTCTTGTTTATCATGCTTGTGTTCTCAGCACTCTGCTTTATGGCAGTGAAACTTGGTCAGTCTGTTTGCACCACGAGAGACAGCTAAGTAGCTTTCACATGCGATGCCTAAGAAGAATACTTGGCATTAGGTGGCAGGAAAAGATCACAAACACCGAGGTATTGGAAAGAGCAGGTATTACAACAGTCTTCTCAATGCTCAGTCTACGTAGGTTTATGTAGCTTGGTCACACCTAGAGAACTGAGCATGGCAGAGTCCCTAATGACATCCTTTATGATGAATTAAAGACGATAAGAAGATGTCGAGGCCGACCTTTACTATGATATAAAGATTTGTGTACGTGAGACAATGATGCATGTACTGAGGTGGACTCGTGGGAACAAAATGCCAGAGACCGTATTCTGTTGAGGGAACACATCAGGAAGGAAATGAGAATGAAGGAAGAAATGATCACAGAAAGGATGAGAGCTGAGGACCTAAGAAGGAACACACAAAACACAAATGTTGACAAAAATGGTCCTAAAATCCCACCCTATAACTGTGAAAGGCTGTTCTTGTTACGGGCGGGTCCAGCTTTTCAAACTCGCCATCACCATTGGCTTTGAGTCCCATGCATCCTCAATGCGCAATATAACAGCATAGTCTGGAAAGTCGGAAAGATGCCAATCATGTATGCCATGGATTAAATAGGTAATCGAGTAATGGAAGTTCTAACTTTATAGTAAACAGGTCACCTCAATGCTGCTCTATTATCGTGTCAATAAAAACCAACACAGAATGTCCATTACCGTCCCTTTTGAAGAAACAACAGCTGACACAGACCACAGTCTTGGAAAAGCTAATAACATTAATATGCATTAAATACATAAGGCAGCCTTCAGAAGTGTCAACACAAACAGTCCTCCACTAGTAATGCAATTCATTAGCATCATAGTCGTCGTCATGGTCTGTTTGCACCATTTTCTATCATATAGGGTATGCAATATTTACTTGGACTTCCGGTCAAATGTGGATGACTAGGCATGGCATATTTGTTGTTTTTTAATCTTCGAAGTTATTTTGCTCCAAACAGCACTTTGGTAATTCAGTTTCGACATATGGACGGAACTCTATATGGTTTCGCTGCTTAAACTACTGAGTTGAGTACTTCGTGCCGCACTGCGAGATATTTTTCAGCTGAAATGCTTTTCATTTGTGCAGTCGTTGAGTCGCCGTATTCAATATAGCGGGTAGCTAGTTTACGTGTGGACTGCCGAAATACCTTATGTAGTAATTTCACATGTATAGCCGGATAATCGTGACCGACTACTTCCGTCAACGGCAAGCTGCATTTATGTTGACAATTTTGACTTTGGCGCCTCTAGAAATTGCCATACGCATTTACTACCTGAGTATATGTTTGGGTTAGACCAGGACTTATTTTTTTTTTTTTTCCTTCATCGAACACCGGCAGTGAATTCCAGTGGAAGGTCAGGTAATCGTCCGCTTGGACTTTTGGCTTTCACCTGGGCCTGATTTTTGCGTGTACAACCGTTTTTTTATTTTCCTGCCTCATGGGCAGCTGTACGCCGACTTCGAAGGAAGACGTCAGGCCTATTTCTAGGGTGACTGTGGCCATTGTTTTGTGTGGGTCGAGACGTTGCCTGATTTGTGTGGTGTCCACTTCGTCTCCTTTGCCGCAGGTATTGCCCCCCGGAGTACCCCTTTGGGTCGGCCCCCTGTGGAACAGTTAGCCCTCAAGGGAAGGCAGGGGCAGATCTTGGGCATTCCCCGCCATCCAAGGAGGCATCCATGTATGCAGAGCCGACACATGGCGCTCTGGTTCTGGGCTCACCCAAGGAATCGTCACGTCCTGCACAAGCCTGCTTAACCTCACAACCGTATCAGGCTTCCCGCTCGACAGGGGCTGCGCCCTCTGGGGGTCAGCGGGGAGCAGCCCGCGGGTTTTGGACTTTTGTAACCACACAGATAGGTACATTCTTTTTTTCCTCGCACGTTAGATTTCTTTGACGAGCCGTTAGCCCGACAGATTTTACATCCTGCATCAGGCATATCGTTATCAGTTTTGTCCCAACACTCGGGCGAGTGGTGTCCTTGGGTGTGGACATTCGGTCTTTTTCAGTTCAATTCTAATTTTGAGGTCAGATTTTGATCCGTATGATCTAGTTTTGTCGGAAATTTAGGCTTAGCCATCCGATCGATGGATGGTTGCTTTTGTGGTGTACCACAGCGCGGTGACGACGACACTGAGGGTTTACCAAGGACATGAATGGCCAGCCTATGGATGGTTGCTGTTGTGGTGTACCCCCAGCGCGGTGACGACGACACTGAGGGTTAACCAAGGATGTACATGAATGGCCAGCCTATGGATGGTTTGCTGTTGTGGTGTACCCCAGCGCGGTGACGACGACACTGAGGGTTAACCGAGGATGTACATGAATGGCCAGCCTATGGATGGTTTCTGTGTTGGTGGTGTACCCCAGCGCGGTGACGGACGACACTGAGGGTTAACAGAGGATGTGCAGTGAACAATGTTCTCTTTATTCCGCAGTCTTTTAACCAAAGGTTGTAATTTTGGCTGTACGTTTGGCAGACCTGCTCATGTTCCTAATGAGTTTTGATAACAATTTTTTTTCACCCAAGCGTTTGGGGGCGGGCTGATGAGAGCCACAAGGACACATCACCTCTGGGGGCCGCCAAACTCCGAGATCCCCTGGCAGCTCTGTTAATGCTCATTTGAGACATTATCCGTGGCGCACGACGAGGACGTGCTGCCGGGGTCTTGCGTGAGGTTCCGTACAACCAGGATATTAAAGGACTGGCGCCCGAGTGACGTACGGAGTATCTCCTTATACACATCATGTTGGACTTAACTTCCCCTCATGCCTGTGACATAAATCACCGCGCCACCAGGACTTATTGTTTTTTACTAGTTTTTTTAAATGGGAGAGCGAGGGATTTCATCTGATATCCACTGGCACTGGATCGGAGCATGTACAGGGTGATCGATTGCAGTGATATTCAAACCTCGCGTACAACTATTAAGACTACGACTAGTCTGTTCTTACACTGCGTTCCATTCTGAGACTAAACTTTACGGTGTTATCTGCTACTTACACAGCAATTGTTTTAAGAGTTAAGGCATCATTCTGTTTTCCTCAGCATTACTTTCATAGACACTTTTTTGTAAGCAGAGACTAATTTTTTGATCCTTTGTTGTGAGTACAAAGCCTTTTATACATAAAAACAAAACAAACAAGCCCTGATGGTAACCACGATATTATCCCGATGAAAGTGAAGGAAATGATGATCATACAAAAATTATTGTTAATGTAAAACATCTGCAAACAGGGCAATGTCGTTACAAATAAACGTACGTTAATGATAACGATGTTGGTGAAGGTGGTAATGACGATACTGACGATGATGGTGATATGATGATAGTGTCGAAGATTACAGCAGCTTGAATCCATTA